ATAAATTAATTTAAAAAATATTTATTTATTTAATTCCATTTGTTATTATTATTATTTTTAATTGACCAGAGAGAGAGAAAGAGAAAGCAAGAAAGCAAGCTGCTGAACTGCGGTCAGCTACGTGGGAATCCAGTGCCTCTAACTACCATGCCACCTGCCAGCCCGTTTTTTGTTTTTAATTATAGGGCGTGTGCACTCATGAGAGAGAAAGAGAGAGAGAGAAACTGAGAAAGCATCCCCTGAGGAGGATGGCCATGCCTCAGTCCCTTGTCCTCCAGTCTCCTCTCGACATTCCTTGTCCTCCAGTCTCCTCTCGACATTTTGTGCATGCATCATGCACACACCTGGAGTGTTTTTCTTTTCTTTTTTCTTTTTTTAAGTATTATTTTATTTAACTTTATCTATTCATGTTTTTTTTTCCTTTTTTTTTTTTGAGAGTGCTATAGGGCACATGCGCGCACCAGAAAGACAGAGAGACAGAAAGCGAGAAATCACTCCCCAGGGAGGATAGTCACGCCGTAATCCCTTCTCCTCCATTCTCCTCCTGAGATCTTGGGCACGCACGCACACGCGCCCGGCATGAGTTTTAAGCCACCGGGTCCGGGACACGAACCATGGTCAACTATGTGGGAGTCCAGCGACATAGCCATTACGCTAACTGTTGGTCCCTATCTATTCATGTTTTAATGTGACCAGAGAGGGAGAGAAAGAGAGAGAGAGAAAGAGAGAGAGAAGGTGAGAAGGCATGCCATCAGGTCTGGGACTCAAACCACGGTCAGCCATGTGGGAGTCCACTGCCCTTAACCATCATGCCATCTGCCAGCTTGTTTTTTGTTTTTAATTATAGGGCATGTGCACTCACAAGAGAGAGAGACTGAGAAAACATCCCATGGCTGGCCCCTCCATGACCTCTTTGAAGGAGCTTTGTATATGTATTTATTTCCCACTTTATTCTAAAAAAACATTTAAAGTTTATGTCAAAGCTACAGCACAGCACAATAAACTAGAAAAGAAAGATGAAAGCAAACTAATTGTTCTTTAAATATAATTATCACTATACTCACAAAAGCAAAGCTAATAGACTCATCCTGGCTTGTTTTTAGAAAATACTCTTTAAAAAAATTTTTTTTGGAGAGGTTTTTTGCTATAGGGTACGTGCACTCGCCAGAAAGACAGAGAGGGACAGAGAGACAGAAAGTGAGAAATCACCCCCCAGGGGGGATGGCCATGCCACAATCCCTTCTCCTCCATTCTTCTCTTAAGAGCTTGGGCACGCACGCACGCGCACATGCCCAGCGTGAGTTTAAGCCCTTGGGTCTGGGACTCGAACCATGGTCAACTACATGGGAGTCCAGCGACATAGCCATCATGCCAAGTTCTGGTCCCAATACTCTCTTAATATGACCAATGGTTTCCATGGTCTCAAATAATAATTTTCAATTTAAAAAGACATTATTCATGTTAGGGAACCAGCAGTTAGCGTAATGGCTATGTCGCTGGACTCCCACGTAGTCGACCGCGGTTCGTGGCCCGGACCCGGGG